GGAATTCGACTAAGAGCATCAGCAACCTAATTTGCACTGTCAGGCTTGTACTGCAACGTGAAATGAAACTGGGCAAGAAAGTCCCGTCATCTTGCTTGTTTTGGTGTCAGCTTCTTCGTGGAATTGAAGCAGCTGGTAGCTACATTATCTGTCAGTACAAGGAAATACTTTTCCAATAAGTAATGCCTCCATGCATTGATGCAGTGAATGACTGTTGTTATCTCCTTCTCATGTACTGAATACCGTCTCTCAGTATCATTCAATTTTCTACTTTCAAATGCCATNGTGGAATTGAAGCAGCTGGTAGCTACATTATCTGTCAGTACAAGGAAATACTTTTCCAATAAGTAATGCCTCCATGCATTGATGCAGTGAATGACTGTTGTTATCTCCTTCTCATGTACTGAATACCGTCTCTCAGTATCATTCAATTTTCTACTTTCAAATGTCATCGGATGCCCATTCTGCACCAGCACCCCTCCAAGAGCAAAGTCTGATGCGTTTGTATGGACTTTAAGAGGCAAATCAAAGTCAAGTAACCGTAAAATTGGGCTAGACGTCACCACCGCCTTCACTCGATCGAATGTCTCTTGACATTCATAGGACCAGTTCCATGTCCTATCCTTCCTTAGAAGATCAGTCAACACCGCGACCTTCTTTGAATAATTCTTCACAAATTTTCGATAATAGTTTGTCAAACCAAGGAAAGAACGCAATTCAGTAACCTTAGTAGGGACAGGCTAATCTGCAATGGCCTTGACTTTCTTCGGGTCCATCTTCACCACGCCCGCAGAAATAATATGTCCAAGGAAAGAAATTTTCTTCTGGGCAAACTCACATTTTTCTGGTTTCAGATACAATTGGGCTTTCCTTAACTTTGTCAAGGCCAGTCTAAGATACTCAACATGCTAATCAAGAGTCTGGATGTAAACAACTATGTTGTTCAAATAAATCACCATGAAACGGTCCAAGTATTCCTGAAATACATTGGTCATCAAGTTACAGAATGTAGCAGGGGCGTTGGTTAAGCCGAAAGGCATGACTAAAAACTCATATGATCCATACCTTGTCACATAAGTAGTCTTTGCCTCATCTCCCTCTGTAATTCTGACTTGATGATATCCCAGCCGCAAATTTATCTTGGTGAAAAAAATCGTCTTTCCCAATCTATCAAATAATTCATCAACAAGCGGCACTAGATAGTTGTTCTTGACAGTGACTTTGTTGAGGGTTCTGTAGTCTACACAAAGTTGTAAGGATCTGTCCTTCTTTTTCTGAAACAGAACAGGGGCTCCATAGNGACCTTCTTTGAATAATTCTTCACAAATTTTCGATAATAGTTTGTCAAACCAAGGAAAGAACGCAGTTCAGTAACCTTAGTAGGGACAGGCTAATCTGCAATGGCCTTGACTTTCTTCGGGTCCATCTTCACCACGCCCGCAGAAATAATATGTCCAAGGAAAGAAATTTTCTTCTGGGCAAACTCACATTTTTCTGGTTTCAGATACAATTGGGCTTTCCTTAACTTTGTCAAGGCCAGTCTAAGATGCTCAACATGCTAATCAAGAGTCTGGCTGTAAACAACTATGTTGTTCAAATAAATCACCATGAAACGGTCCAAGTATTCCTGAAATACAGTGGTCATCAAGTTACAGAATGTAGCAGGGGCGTTGGTTAAGCCGAAAGGCATGACTAAAAACTCATATGATCCATACCTTGTCACATAAGTAGTCTTTGCCTCATCTCCCTCTGTAATTCTGACTTGATGATATCCCAGCCGCAAATTTATCTTGGTGAAAAAAATCGTCTTTCCCAATCTATCAAATAATTCATCAACAAGCGGCACTAGATAGTTGTTCTTGACAGTGACTTTGTTGAGGGTTCTGTAGTCTACACAAAGTTGTAAGGATCTGTCCTTCTTTTTCTGAAACAGAACAGGGGCTCCATAGGGTGCCTTGGAAGGTTGAATGAACCCAATGTCCAATAAACCCCCAAGCTGTCTCCTTAGCTCCACCAACTCTGATGGAGACATTCGATAAGGAGCCTGGGCAGGGATTTTTTCCCCTGGGATCAACTCGATGGCATGGTCAATCTCCCATCTTGGTGGTAACCTTGCTGGCAATTGTTTAGGTGCCACGTCCTTGAACTCAACCAGCAACTGTTGCACTGGTTCAGGGACTTGCAATGCTTTGGACTCCTCTTCCTCAAATAAAACAGCCAAGTATGTTGCTTCCCCCTTCTANGGTTCAGGGACTTGCAATGCTTTGGACTCCTCTTCCTCAAATAAAACAGCCAAGTATGTTGCTTCCCCTTTCTGCAAGCCATCTTTTACTTGCAAGGCATACAACATTTCCCCCGAAGACTTGGCCTTAGTGAGGGGAACAAAACAGGCATTGGGCATGTCCATCACGAACATAACAGACACCTTTGCCTTTGTAAGGAATTGCAGTCCAAGGATTACCTGGAAATCATCGAGAGGGACTGCCATAAAATTACATGATCATTGCCAATCACCAACTTTTAAAGGGACTTCTCTTGCGACACCGCATATTGGTTTTGCCTCTGAATTAACAGCCTTAATCTGGCTAGAGTCTTTTACCAAAGTCAGACTAAGCCGCTGTACTTCCCGGTCAGAAAAAAATTATGGGTTGCACCTGTATCAACTATTGCCTGGACAACCGCATTGTTCAGGTGAATCTGCACAAACATCAACCCCTTCTTTGCCACTGTCTCCTCTTTGCGAATTGCATTAAGGAGTTGTAATGGATTGACTCATGTTGGTTCGTCAGAACAATCAGTGTCCTCAGCCATGAGGGCATTGAGTTTTTCCTTCTTGGGGCAATTTCTGGCATGATGAGGGCCACTACAGATAAAACAGCCTGATGAAGAAGCCCTATTAGTCAGTTTTTCTGAATTGCCAAACTTCTCTGCCTTTTTTTTCTGCTTGTCCTTCTTAGGGAACTTGGCTTTCCCTTTTGACTCCTTCTCTGGAGGGTTAGCCTGCGTTTTGTAGTCAACCAACGTGTCTGCTGCGGATATAGCAGCGAGTAAATCCTTCACCCCTTACCGATGAAGTTCTGCTTGTGCCCAAGTTTGGAGACCAGACATAAAGTTGAATAGCTTGTCTTCCTCTGACATATTTTTGATGTCAAGTATCAGGGACGAGAATTGCTTCACGTACTCCCTCACGGTGCTTGTATGTCGAAGTTTCCTCAATGCATCACGGGCTTGCCAAGCCGTGTTGCTGGGAAGGAATTGTTCCTTCATTTCAGCGGATAGAGACTCCCAAGTAGTAATTGGAGGACGAGATTTCTCCTCAAAACATGTTTGTCACCATAATTTAGCATCACCAGACAGGTACATGCTAGTGAGATCTACCTTATCAGCATCCGGAGTGCGGACTACTTTGAAGTAGTGCTCCATATCCCACATAAAGTTCTCGANGTTTGTCACCATAATTTAGCATCACCAGACAGGTACATGCTAGTGAGATCTACCTTATCAGCATCCGGAGTGCGGACTACTTTGAAGTAGTGCTCCATATCCCACATAAAGTTCTGTTCTTTAGCATTATGACTGCCTATGAAAGGCTTAGGGTCAGATACTTTAGCTTTCTGAGTGCTTTCACTGCCAGAAGCCAAAGAAGCATTCTGCAGTGCCTTCTTGAGCACTAAAACGTCTGTCTCGAGGGAACTCAATTTTTCTCCCATATCATCGGTCCATGTGGAGATCGTAGCCAGCACGTCAATGACTTCGTTTTTCACTCGACTGAAGTGATCAGATTTAGTCTTTTGAAGTTGTTCGTGTGCAACACGCATATTTTCAAACCGTTGATACAGCAACTCAAGTTGCACAAAGAGAGCCACAACATCACCGGACTATGGAGGACCAACCAACTCCTCCAAACGTGTCACCCTTTCCCTCAGATTAGCATTCGTTCTGTTAGCCATAGTTGATCTGTTGCCAAAACCTGGCTCTAATACCAAACTGTTACGGGGTAACTTTCGTTTTTCTTTCGAGGCTACCTGTGAAGGCGTTGCTATTGCAACCAGCCACACACAAACTCAAGATTAAGGGACAAAAACTCACACACGAATTTACTGGGTCAAAACTCCCAAACCTTATATATTGAACTCAACAATTTACAAGAAACTAACAAAGCCATAACACTTTCTCTGCCTATCAGAATGCTCAAGCACCCCTATTTATACTGGAGTAAGGCAGATGACACCCCCATTTGTCAAGGGGTAGTTACACACATTTTTGTTATTCCATAGCATACTTGGCTAACAGACTTGGTCTCTGTGCGACACCTGGTAGGCAGTTCCACCCCTTTCAGTAACTGATGTGGAACTGCCCTTCATCAGCATGCATCTGGACTGGATTCAGACCAGGGACAACCAGAACTGCCTCAACAATTGCCTTGGCTGTGTCTCCGCATCTGTAACTGCCCACATCCTCCTGGTCACATGCATTGAGCAGTCATGTGCCCACATTCAGTAGCCAGCCTTGCTTCACGAACCAATGTGCATGCTGGATTCAACCCAAGCCCTCCAATCCGAAGCTATGCATCCACATTGCTTCAATTGAGCCAATCACGCGCTACCATGCTCAACCGGATGTTCTCATGCTACATTGGTTCGTCCCAATCTGTCGAACCACTTAACTGCGTCACCTGNAGCCCTCCAATCCGAAGCTATGCATCCACATTGCTTCAATTGAGCCAATCACGCGCTGCCATGCTCAACCGGATGTTCTCATGCTACATTGGTTCGTCCCAATCTGTCGAACCACTTAACTGCGTCACCTAGATTCCAACTTATTACATGTCTTGGTGCAAGGTGCCACCAAGACCGGCCATTTGCACCAAAGTCAGTTAGGGTGTGACACTAAGCTTCTACAAGATTTCGAACAGTTTGAGGACACCGTGTTGCCACCATATAAAATTGATTCCATGTATGTTGAAAAGCTAAGTGATTCAGACTTCGTTGGAATATGCAATGGGAGGCCATGGAGAATCCATACAAAAGGTGAATGTGACGACTCATGTACAAAATGTGAATGTGACAACTCATGTGGGCGGTTGTGGCAGCAGCAGCGCCAGCAGTGGAGGGGCAATGCCTGGTTCCTTTATAAAATCCACTAATCCAAGTAGTAATGGTGGTAGTAGCAGCTCTGCTGATAGCCGGGGAGGAGTAAAGGTGGGTTGTTTTACGAAATATTGGTATTGTGTCCACAGCAGCAATGGTATGAAGATTTGGCGGCAGGTGGGTGTGAATGTAATGGCGGACAAGCCTACTCAAAGGAGGAAGAGAAAGTATAGAGGAGTGTATGAGACTGAAGCCGAGGGTGCTGCAAGTCTGGAACGTCTAAGGATCAAAAGAAGAGAAGCAGCAGCATGGGTACTTGAAAAGAAACAGGTGACTTACTACTACAGAGTAATGTTTGTTGTCTTAATACTACAACTATGAAAAACCTCTAAATTCAGTGATTGAAATGAATTAAAAAGCCTAAACAACCAATTTTAAGGTGCTGTAGGCCACTCAAACAAAAAAGACTAAAAAATTTAGTGGTTTCTTTAAGCTTCAGTGCTTCTTATCATGAATCTAGGTCACAGAATAATCACCAAACCATGCCTGGATTCAATAATAAGAATACGAAGAAAAATTCTTAAAATTCAGTGTTAATCATGTTCGATCAGGCTCACAAAGCCCAACTTCTGGAACAGCTTCAGAGCCTCCGCGCCGAGAACGAATTTCTGAAGAAATTGCACAATGTAAGAATGTTCCACAGCCCTGCACTGTTTCTAATTTCATTTTTCTTCAGAATTCTTCCCTCTATTCTTCTCATTCTTATATATGTTTTTATCTTGTAGTTTCCTCTATATTAACATCGAGAGAACATTGATTTTTTTTTTTTTTGTGCTTTCACCATCTCACAGTTTCTGGAAGACAATCAAATGATAGATTTTCCTCCGAAGCCACTGAAGAGGACCATGTCAGGACCTATATGAAGAAAATGGTGTCTTTCTTTTGGAGCAGTATGCAATTGTATCCTGCTATTGTGTATTCATACACGCATCCCCCAAATTTTTTAAATTACAGCACTTGTAGACAAACTTGGTCATGGTCATGGTCAAAGCACAGTTGCAAGGGAGGGTCAATCTCTCTTTTCCTGAACAAGATCAGTCCTGGACAAACCACCTGAAACTTCAGATTCAGCAATATATTTTGTCATACCTATAAATATGGTCACAAAAAGTTATGAAGCCTTTGTTTCAACTTGTGGTAAGCATAGGCAGATCAAAGAGTCATTAAACATCAATAAATTAGACTAGAGGATCACCTAGAATAGCAAGGTGTGAGGTCTAAGTCCTCGGATTCAGACACACTGAAATACCTTAATGCCAGACCACAAACAAATAGAGCATAGGTAATGTTTGAGAGCAGAAGAACACACAGTTTCACAGAAACATCATTAGAACTAAGGTTTAATTACTCCCACCAGGCTGCTGAATTGAACAAAGTTTGCCAGTCACGAGCAAACTCACTCTTTAGTTGCAACTACATTTGAGGAATGGTAAGACCTTTTAACTTGGATCAGCACATTTGAATTGATTACACCACAAGATTTTGGAATCAGAGTTGTAAACCAAAAGAAGAGACACAGGTGCCTCATAACATGAACACACACACACACACACACACACACACACACACACATATATATATATATTTTCCCGTGTTTGAATAGTTAAATGCTAAACAAATCCATCCTAAGAAACTTAAAACCGATACACAGACTAGTATGTGCTAATTACAGGTGTGACAGCAGTAGCATGACTACCAAAACAATTTACCAGACTAGGGCAATACTCCATAGTGGCATCAACTTCTTGTAACCCTCCTTTTGGTCATCAAACCATGGCATTTCCATAATTCTTTAAGGTCTAAAACCTTGACATATAAAAACATAAAATCAATCATGGTAAGCTCAAGAAAGAAGAAAAATGTAACTCACCATTTGTCTAACATTGCTTGCCCTGTAGAATTTTGTCTCAAAAAATATGGTTAGGCTAACATCTTGTCAAAGGGAACAAATGTAACCAGATAATTGTGTAAAGAACCATGAAATTAGAAGAGCAATTAACAAACCCAGGGAGGTGTAAAATCCCTCCAAGTCAATGCCATCTAAATATAGAGAGCATATGTATGCACCGCAACTGGATATAGATTCAATTCACATACACAAAATTATGAAGTCTTCAGCCATTAGTTAATCAGATGATGTCAAAAATCACAGCTGCCAGTATCTCTTTCAAAGCATGCACTCTTACACCTATACAATCTTTCATGTAGAAGCCCCTAGATTATGTTACAGGACTTGGGGGGTTAATAGGACGAAACTGCAACAATGGAGCACTTAGTCGTGTTATTAAGCAACATCAGACCGAGCCTTGTATCAGATTAAATCATCCTTAAGTGAAGAATTCCTACACCATAAGGTAGCTAACTAGAAAACACATCCAGTCTAACCATGCCCTTATCTACTGCATACCATTACAGGTCTCTTTTTGGCTATAAAAACATAAGCGCTGCATACATTTTCACCAATTTACTTCGAATTTCATACCTCTAACATATTTTCTACATACAGATGATGTAGAACTATCAATAACTCTGTCAACACTTACTAGTCTATCATCCCCACCTCCCGCACCACCCCCTCCCACCCCCCAACCCCC